CCACATTGCTTTATATCTCCTAACTTTCCTGTATTCTCTGCAAAAGTGCGTGGACTTCTGCAATGCCCTGGAGCAGCTTGCAGGTCAGAGCATTATTAGAGTGGCCCTGAAAGGGGAAAGCTTTCAGGGTTTCTACTCGAACCTGTTCAATATTCCAAAATTATGGATATAAAGGGCCTCAATTTCTTTGAAAACTCTGCATGGTGTTGGCGAGATCTGTCATTGCCTCCCTATATTTAGTAGATGTCTCCATTTTATATTGGACATAAGGATCATTTATCTACATGTCCCCATTTTTCCAGTGCACCAACACTTACTGTGTTTCACTGTGGAAACTCAACACTACCAGACTGTCCACTGTGCTTTGGGCCTTTGTTAAGGTGCTGGACACTGTGATTCTTTCTATGCTCTGAGACTCCCCCTTGTGGTATGCTTAGACAACCTCCTCTAGTCAGCTCTGGTATTGTTTGCCAGTGTCAATCAGGCAATCCAAACCATGCAGAGGTTCAGATGGATTCTGCACCTCCAGAAGTCAGTGCTGGAACCAAAATATCATTTGGAGTACTTGTTCTTTTTTCTGGATACAGCCCAGTCCAGAGTATTCCTCCCATGGGAAAAGCTTGTAACTTTCTGCTCCCATGTTCAAATATTTCTATCAACCTAAGCAGGACATTGTGCTTCTTTTCTCTGTTCTACTTTTAAATATCCTAATGAGGTTTTTCTACAATGTCTATATGTAGTAGTGGCTGCTCAAGTTTATCTTCAGTTGTCATTGTTCATTCCTGAATTTTTCTCAAATTTGCAAGACTACCTTCTGGTCTTCTGTTCAGACTGTTCAGGTTTTACCAGATGGACATTCTGGCCTCTTCTGATTCCAGTTTTGGCTGCAAGGTTCCCCAGGTTTCCTTTGAGCTCTTCAGATGCTGAACTTCAGTTGACCTTGGTCAACGTGGGCCTGTTAGCAGGTATTAGCTGTGTTGCCCACAGCTAAGTTGCACTGCTTTGGGCCCTTCCTGTGTCTCTGAATATCCTCCTGTGTCTACTAATGTACAATCAAAATTGGAATTTGACCTGTAAAGTTCTTTTGTTGGAGTTTTAGGGGACACAGGTTCCACCCTCTGCTCCTGTGATTATCTCCTTAGGAGCTGGAAGGGGTTATGCTGTTCTTTTACAACAACTCTGATTGGTTGGCAGTGTCTAGTCTCCTGAACTTGGCTGCATAACCCTATGTCTCTGAATATCCTACTGTGTCCATAATGAACACCAATAAAAGGATATTACAGGCAAGTCAGAATTGTATATACATGCCATAAAATCTACTACTTGGAGTTTGAGAGAAACAGGTTCCACCCATCTGTGTCTTTTGTCATGTTTCTTGTACTGCGTTTTACAAAACTGAGGCATGCTGAGTATAGGACAGGTCTTACTGGCTGGCACTGTTTTTGTTTGCCAGTATCAAAATGCTATGCAAGAAAACAAAAATCCCATTTCTTTGTTCAGCTGGTGTAATGACCTGAAATACTTCTTTATATCAAGCTGTGCACCAGGTAAAAGTTGAAAATGGGCTTAAAACGGAAGGGTTTGCTCTATAAGATGATGGATCTAAGGAGTCTGATCCTTGGGTGCACTTAGAGCGCGTAGGATATCATTAGCACAAAGATGAGGACCAGCAGTGGGGTGGAGACTACAAAATTACATGTTATATGTTGTGACCTTCCTTATGGTATGCAGACATGCAGCACAGCAGGGATGAGGGAAGAAATAAGTATGAGCATTCTTTATACAACTTTTGGCAAGTTAAGATTTGTTTCAGTTGTGGATTTAGCCATCTGGTTGGAGTTATCCTTTAATGCTTTGCTAACATGTCATAATCGCACTTTGTCACAATTGTTTAAGGAAATTTTATGTCTAGGCTTACATAAAGAATTTAATGGCATCTATGACCAGTTAATGTGGTGGTTTCCATATTTTGTACAGAATTTGAAAGTTTTTTTTTTTTTTTTCCTACTGGAGATGAGAGGCATCCAGTAGTCACCCCAAGTATCTAAACACAGTATGGGCAATTTTGATTTTTATTGCTGGGTGGAGCAGCTGTGATTGCTGCGTCCCAGCTTTTGTGCTTAATATTTGTAGCAGCTCAGGGATATCATTGCATTTGTAGAAGCAATCTAATATTTTCCTGGTGGATTTTTTTTTTTTAATTATTGGGAATGTACTAAGGGAAACTGCAGCACACGTAGGTCCTACTAGAACATTCCTACATTCCAAACTCACAGGTGGACAGGAGCCTAAAAATTATGGCAGGTGGATTCTCCGATTGGAGCATCTGAATCGCATAAGAAGCCAGGGGTTAATTCAGCCTAACCTATGACTAAAATATTGTGGGTTGAAGTGACCCCTTATCAGGCACTGTGAGGAACATTAAATTGTAGAAAGCCAAAACCTTTTTTTTTTTTTTTTTTTTCTTCTTGAGAAGCATGATCCTCTGTTACGTTTTTATTTTATTGTTTCTGCACTGGGGAGATTCACTTCTCTACTTGTCCTGGAAACCATTGTCACTGAAACAGAATATCAGAGGAAATCCTAAATTTCACCATTTTTCATGAGAGCAAGAGATGAACAGAAGTCTTCCAACGAGGGAATTTCTCTCATTTTGGGCTGATTTCCTCCTTTTTTCTTTTGTATCTCCAGGACAGAAAGTAAAAGGAAATCTCCCCGAATGAAAGCAGACAACTAACATAACCTTTGCTATTCTATCCAACACAAACAAAAATCTTGGCTTTTATATACAATTTAATACAAGACAGTGCTAGGTGGTGATTGGTCACTTTCTAAAAATCAATTTCATATTCTTTACAGGGATTGAGACAGCACTGACAACTTTGATATGCAAAATACAAAATTACATATGAGGCAGTCTTAACACAGCAGTCTTTTTGTTTTTAGGAGTCTCACTGTAATTTAGTTTATCTGTTGATCCTGCGGTTATTTGTCTGCTTCCTTTAACAGACCATATGGAAGTTAGAGGTTAGAAACAAATGATTTAATAGGGGTGCTTACAATGGTTAGTTAATTTATGTAAAACCTTTATCCCAAAAAAGGAGAAACTATTCTTCCTGTAGTGCTAAAAAGTGTTAGCTGGAGTTGGGCTTTAATTTGTTAGTCGGGTCCATCTAAATCATCTAGTCCAACTAAAGGTGTCCATACGCTAGAAGAATTTTTAATTTTAAGAACATTTGATTTTCTAATCTGTGAGTCAAATGGGCGTTTGTTTTTGAGCACTTTGACCAGAAAATTTTGAAGCATTAAAATGTAAACATTTTCTCAAATGAACAGATTTTTAATAATTAATGTGATCTTCCTTTGGGAAAGTCCATTTGCTCCAAAATTGAATGTTGAAAGCAGTTTTTGGAGTACAAACTGCATTTGTCACGTCATTGAATGTGCTGATGAAACATTTTCGATTGAATATCAACAAGTGTGTGGCCAGCTTAACACTACCCTCTGCAGACAGTGCTACTGTCCAAAGGTGACTCCATTGCTTCTTCATAGAGTAGCCACCCTAAGAGAGGAAGTGTTACTGTCTGGATCACCAGATGAAAAGGAGACAGCCTAAAAAGACGATATGAGTCCAACCATCACATTTAAGAATTGGTAAGCTGCAGTATATTAACCTTTTTTGTTTTTAGGGTTTAAATCCACTTTAAGAGTTCAGTTAGCTAGTTTGATCAGCGAAATAATTCTGATTTGTTGCTATGGCTGCATTGATTACACCATAGTAATTTCAGGTGCAGTTTTTATTTTTTAAACCGCTCTAGTGCTGGGTAGTTTTGACTTGGCTTTTAGCCTGAGACTAACCACCCAGTTTACAGTCAGCCCATTTTTCAAAGTATTGATTTTAGCATTTACATGAGGCATTTGGCAACAAGGCATCAGTCTGCTTCTGCATTGCAATTACAATTTTCAGTGCTGCTTAGCCCATACTGCTCTAACAGATTATATGCAGAATTGTTCATATTATATTAAAATATATGCTAAACTTTCTGAAGTTCTGTTAAACATATGGAAACTTGTATAACATATTTGGCAATGTTTTAATTAGCTTCTGTATGCTGAGTGACTTGCTGTCTGGTAAGGTTTTGCTACAGGTGCTGTTTGCAGTGGTGAAAGTTAACAATACTTTCTGCAAAGCGGTGGAGGTTTGCTGGCTTTTTCCCTTGCCGGGACTGAAGTGGCATTTTATGGCAGTTTATTCATCCCACTGCATTCCATATCCATGCTTTTGTTTGCCCTACCTTTCATTACTTTCCTGCAGTGCATTATTAACCCTTCTGAGGTGTTCCCAAATATATAGTAATAAGAAGAAAATTTATTTCCAGTAGAAAAGTCAAGATGACTTTTTTGTAAGGCCTTACTGATGCTGGCGGGACACTGGTCGCCTAACACCTGTATAATTATATTTTATTTTTGCCTGTTCTTTGTATAGTCTATATCTTTCTCTGTGCCTGTGGCTTTAAATCATCATTCCAACAAATAATGTCTTGCAGTTTATTTCCCAAGGCTGAATAGCTGGTTCTCAGTAGAAACTTGAATGCTGAAACGTTCCCTCATTTTAAGCTTCTTATTGCATGAGCAGAGGTTGTGGGTCAGGCTTTGGTTTGGCCATCATGATCAACCTTTCCATGCTCAAGCAATGATGCTTAAACTTTGGCCTGTTGGGAGTCACAAGAAGTTCCCTCTAGAGCCCTTTAGAGCAGTGTTTTCCAACTCTGATCCTCAAGCCCCCCCAACAGGTCAGGTTTTCAGGATATTCTTTGCTTATCGCAGGTGCCTTTGCTAAAGTTTCTGTTAAATCCACCTGTCAATAAACTGGATATCCTTAAAACATGTACTATTTCTTGCTATGTGGCTTGAGGAGCAGAGTTGGCAAACGCTGCTCTAGAGGTTGTGCACAAAACCTCTCTTGTGTTGGCGTCTGGCTGATTGCTTCGCTTTCCCAGCAGCCTCGGGGAAGAAGCAAGCGGTAAAGTCCAAGGAAGAGTTGGCTCAGGAAAAGAAAAAGCAGTTGGAGAAGAGACTCCAGGATGTGAGCGGCCAATTAAATAACAAGAAACCCACGAAAAAAGGTACAGTGCTAGATCGCCCCTCTGGCCAACAAAGCCACAGAAATGAAAGCTCAGTGCCCGTCACCCCAAGCATTAAGGTGTTTGACCTATTCATCCTGCTAGAGTATTAGGCAGCGGGAATGCTTGTCATCTAACTATTCCTCCTCCTGTTTTCATTCATTTTCTCACCGCTGTGATCAGGCTGCTTCACTGTGTAATCCTGACCTGGACTAATCTGTAGTGTTTAGGAGCCAGCAGGCAGGTTTAAAGGCAAGTGCACGTTTATACTTGTACCTGTAAAACATGCGCTGTGCATTCTTTTTCTCCGCAATCACTTTTTGTTTGCGCTAACCATGAATATTCATGCTGCTGTCCAAATAGCTGCACCCACCCTGTTAAATTTTGTCGGTTGGTGTGTAAACACAGGTTTCCGTTATTTTTACTGGGCAAAAAGGAGACACCTAAGATGACTGATAACCAAGCACAGTGCAACTTACAGCAGACTTTGTACATAAGTTTTACATGCAAGGAAGTTGTGTTTTTTTTTTTTTTTTTTCTCCAATAACAGAAATCTGTATTGAGAGAAATGCATAGATATCTCTGCCATATAAAAAAAAAAATCTTACTTGCCTGATTTTGAGGCTTGTTCAGTGTTAGTGTTTTGCAAATGAAAGGTTACCATAAAAGCTAGAAACTGACATTTTTGGAATGCAGCAATGATGGTCTACATCTTTTTGTCATGAAAGGTTTACTTTAAAGTACAGGGTGTCCCTAAAGTCTGGACACATAGGCAAAATGCATATTGAGAAAAAAAACTGTGATATTTGCTATGTGTCCAATACTTAGGGACATCCTGTATATATAAAAACCTAACAATTGGAATCTTTATGTCCTTTCTTTTGGTCTGTTAATATACCATACCAAGCGGGTTTTTGAAAAAAAAAATTTTTATTAGCGCAAAAAAAAAGGTGATCCTGCCAGAAATCTTGATCTGCGATAACTTCGTAAGCACTCTGCCCATGTTGCAGTTAACTCTTCTCAGGTATCACTGTGAACTACAAAATGCCTTTCTCCCCTTATTATGGAGATGAGGAAGGTGTTCTGTAGCACTGCCTGAGGTGGACAGCGCTGTTTCTCCAAAGATACAGGAGAGTGAATATTTCACCTTGGGACAGGAAGTGTTACTGGCAGGGTCACCAAGTTTAAAAAAAACAAAAAAAAAAACAAAAAAAAAAAAAAACATGCAGCCACCTCATCTAAAGACTGGTAAGCTGCAAACTATTATATTTTTGCCCTTGGATTTACATATGCTTTACAATCATATCTAAATGAAGTGTATCTGCTTGTGATCTTTTTTTTTTTCTTTGAGGTGCAAAGCTAAACTGGAAATTTTAAGGCACAAAGGGCTTACCTTCCCAGGAATGCCTACAGTTCCGTTGGCTTTACATTGATGATTTGGCTCCTGCAGTTTATCCAGGTCTGGTTTAGACTGTTAGATGCAGATCCCGCTGCTGCACAGCAAAAATGTGCCTTTTTTTTTAAATTGTTTAATTTTTTTTTTTTTACATTTTAATTTTTTTATGGCCAGAAGTGTTTAGTGCATCATTCTTCATTTCTTTATTTAGTTGATTGTTTTTTGTTTGTTTTTTTTTCCCCCCTCAAAAATTAGAATTCAGCATTGATGAAGATCATTGGTCCCTGGAATGAAAGGGGTGCTTAGTGGATACCAGGGGTACAAGGCAACACCATGTGATGCTGTTGCCCGGTGCAGTCCGTTTGTTGTAGGAAGTAGTAAATCCCCATCAATGCTGCATTCAGACCACTTCAGGCTTGTGTAGCTTGCTGTTTCATAGTTTTTTAATCTAATAATTTGGACCATTGCATGAATAGGAGCTATGCCTCTCCAAATACTGCTGTGACTGGGGCTGGTGGTACACTTGGTGTATTTTTCATTGCAGTTTGAAAACTCTAGACAGCTTCATCCTTTTTCTGATGCATCACTGCCTCACATCCCAACCTGCAAAACTTTCTTGTTGTACTGGTATAGTACCTAACCCCTCCCCCCCCCCCCCCAAGAAAAAAAAATCCAATAGTCTCTGTATATTGATAGCAGCACATTTATTCCTGAAATGCTATTTTGTTGAAGTCTACAGTTACCCAGCCAGCAGTTTTGACCTGAATCCCCTGTAGACCTCAAAATGATTGTTGGCTTCATAAATATTCAGTTAGACAGGTATTTGCTTTAGTTCAGAGCAGAAATACTAAAGGTCTTTTAAGTTATTCTCCCAGCAGCTTGACTAATCCTGCTCTTCTCTCCCAGCAATAATTCAGCAGCCTTGTAATATCTAATGTAAACACATAACAGGTGAACTGGGAGGGGGAGCAGGGGGAGCTGAGTTGCTGAGCATGTGACTTGAAAGACATCAGTCCGTCTGCTCTGAACCTAGAGGATGAATTTCTCCATGGTGCCTGCAACTATAGAGGTCAGTGATGGTTTGTTTAGTGAACCTGCATTACAGAAAAAAAGTTTTAAATTTAACTTTTTGTTTAAATTATCCTTCAGGATTTTATCCTAATCTTATCTATTTTATGTCTCCTATCTAAAGATTTTATCTTGAACTTCTATAATCAAGATAAAAGTTTGACATTGTTATACCGAAATTATATACAAACTTTTTATTTTTTCAGCCATAGCAGGTGTACATTGGAGACCTGAACCAGGCTCATTTTATGTAGCATGACACCTTCTGGCTTATTGGTGCACCTAAGGCACATTTCCTGCCTGACTTGCTTCCTGTATTCCTACAATATGAGTGCAAGATGCATTGCTCAATAACCCTTCCCTATATACATATGACAGATGCATATAAAGGGAACATGTATGACCAAAGTCAGGGCCTGTGGGATTTAAATAATATCACTGCATTTCTTTTTGCTATTATATTAGTAATTATTATCTGATCAAACACTGCTGTACATTTTTTTTTTTCGTTTATTGCAGAGAAGTCTGGTTCAGGAGCAGCCGGAGGTCCATCCCGGCTCAGCAGCAGTAGCAGCTCCTCAGAATCCGGAAGCAGCAGCTCCAGCGGGTCCAGCTCTGACAGCAGTGACTCCGAGTAAAACTTTCACCATTGAAATCAAAACTGATCACACAATCTTGTCCTTCTCCCCCAGTGTCTTTGTCTGAGGCTCAAGGCTTATGTGTGCTGTTTTAAAAAAGGAAAAAAAAGATTTAAAAAAAAAAAAAAAAAAAAAACAAGAAGGAAAAAACTACAAACTAATTTTATTTTTTAAAAAAAGGAAAAAAAAAAAAATAGAAGATTCTCCAGTTTGGCAAACAGGCATCAGCAATAACCAGCGAGCAGAGGGCCCTGTTGCTTTATTGGATTTTATGAAATTTTACTTTATATAATTAAAGAGATTTTAAACTGGTTTTAATGCCTCTTCTCCCTGTTTGGTCTAAATTGTGTTTCTCAGAATGACAAAACTTAACATGAACTGGACTGACTACCACCGAATTTAATATGCCCCTCGACTTTGGAAACTAACTACAACGTAACATCTCACATGGTACTTTCTCGGTCAGAGACTGTCTGCCTTGTAATTAAATAGGTGTGTGTGTAACATTGCTGTAGTTTTTAGATATACTAAACATATGTTTACAGCTTCAGCATTGCGCCTATATATATATTTTTTTTTTAAAATGCAAAATGTGCATAAGGCACTTGTAGCTGATATTACGGGAAGTAACCTATGTATCTGGTGGGGATTAACTTTTTTTTTTTTTTAATTTTGATTTTTACCTGATTTTTTAAATTCTTCTGTTTTTACCTCGAGAAAAAAGTATTTCAAGTAAATTCACATTTTGTAAAATATTCAACATTTTCATGGTCCTCAGTACAATGACCCCTCAGCTACACATTCCACTAGCCTTTCTCTTTGCTTTAATGTACATATTGCATATGTTATTTATTAACCATTTGACTTTCACAAAAGCATTTTTTAAACTGCACAGTGGAATATGGGACAAAACCTGTAGCAGTACAATTGTAATATAGCAAGCAAGGCTTACACGTTTGACCTTTTTAGTGACTAGAGTGCAGTTTGTGCTCAACAAGCTTCTTATGGAGAAGTTATTCTGGAAGTTTGACAATCCCTTTTTTTTTTTTTTTTTCTGCTTGTATGCAACACTCGCTATAGCTTGTTCCAGTCTATATCATCTGTATTACGGTTTATGGCAACAGGTGCCATTTTTTGAGATTTTGTACATTTTTCTGTGTAGCATTTTTTTCCTCTAGCATATGTTATATTGCACTTAGCTATCCTTGGCACTGGTGCAATCAGAAAAAAAACAAATTTGGTTTTGTTCTTAAGCTTGCAGAGAGATTCAGGCCTTAATTTCTTTGTCTTCTCTCCCCTACCCCTCCTCCCAAATCTCTGTCCACCCCCTCCCTCTCAAAACACACCTGCACCCTTCCTTTTCCCCATTACCTATACTATATATTTCTTATACATGTATGCACGATTTCCCTAAACAATAAACTGGGACAACAACTTTGAAATCCTCCCTGTAATTGAGAGTGTATAGCATTTGTATCTCAACTATGTTAATCCACAGTATGTGGAGATTAGCAGCTATTGAGTTTCTTTCTAAATGGCAGCTACAAGAATTTTAGCATAGAACCCCTTTTTAAAACATTTTAAAGGGTTTGTGGCAGGAGGCAGGTAAGCTAGTTTGTTTTTTATTGTGAAATGTGTACTTTTTCTTCTGTATTTCACTATAAGGTTATTTTGATTTATCTAGTCTTAATATGCCAGCGTGCTAATGAATGTGTTTCAATTAGAACCTTTAATACTTCCAAATATGTAGTCCTAGATTGGCAAGTGCAAACTAATTTTTCAGACAGGGTTGCATTTTATTTTATATTTGTTTTGTACATTGTAAGCGCTATGCTCTGTCCTGAGGATCAGAATATTCTAACTTATTGTACTGGGTGAAGATTTTTGGGAAAGGGTATTTTTATTACATGTTTTCAATGATTTTAAAAGTGTGTGCATTTACCCCACCCCACCCACCAAAAAATAGGCACTAAACACATTGTTTAGGGTTTTAAAGGCAAAACTGCTTCATCTTCAGGAAACATTTTCAAAACATTTATCTAATTTCAATCGGCTTCTTAAAGTTGCAACAGGCTGGTTGATCTTTGCTAGCGTGTTTAGGATAATAGAATTGATAGTGTACAAAGCAAGTGACTCAGTCAATGTAGCTATAGACGAGATTAGAAGATGATCTTGCATCTGTGAGTAGTCCCCAAATTGTCAGGCCACCTGTGCCTATGGATCAGTATTGGACAAGATAGAAATCCATCACCCATTGTTCTCTCTCTAGTAAGCCAGCACCAGATGCTGTTTCTCTTCTGTCTACATAGATGTTGCTTGTATGCTAAACTGAGTGGAACCTACAGGTTAATACAGGGGCTCTGCCATCAAGTGCCCTTAGGACAGTCTGATTATGCCTGTGAGAGAGTATCAGGGAAGAAAAAAGGAGGATTTTCCGGTTAGGTTTTTTTCCCCCATTGTAGCTAACTAGTGGTGATATTGCATCAGTAAAAACCATGAGGTTTTAAACATTATAGCTAGACTCTTTGGAAAATCTCACATCATTGTTTGGCAGAACATACAAAATGCTCTGACCTTGTTACGTCAGAAGCCTTTATGTTTTGGATCACTGTAATCCCTGCATGGGACACAGCAAAGCATTCTCATTCATTCCCATGCCTAACCAATGTTGAGTTTATGAAAGAAATAATACCTCAAGCCCCCTGCCCTTCTCAATTTCCTGCAGAGTGTTTTTGTTTTTTTTTTTAAATGTGTTTTCAGGTCCTATAGTTGGTGGTAGATTCCATTTTAATAATTTATATATGTAACCCACAAAAAAAGAAAACCTTTTTAGGGTTTAATTTTTATTTTGTAAACATTTAACATGAGGAATAGCATTTGGTTGGAGCAAAGTAACCTTTCTCTGTTTCTAGCAGTCATGAAGTGTTGCACACATTGACAGCTTCAGTTCTGGAATTTTAGGTTCCTTGTTATGATCATGAATCAGGATAAATTAATTTGTCATGATATCTTGAAATGTTTCAAGTTCAAACACATTGTGGCTCCTACATGATATGTTAAAAAATTTATTTCTCTAAAGTCACTATATAGCCATGGCCTGTGTGTTTTTAAAGAGTTTTTATGTAACAGAGGTTAGCCTAATTTGGACACTCTATGGGTTGTAAAAAATGTAATATTCCGGATCACTGTACATTTTATAAAGTTGTGTGTATTACAGTAATTTGAATACAGGTCTTTCATAAACTGTGCAGTAAATAGTATATGTTTCACATAGTCGAACATCTTTTCATTATCAGGTTGCACACTATTTTATTTTTTTGTACATCATTTACAGACTCCTCATCCATGGAAACCGTATTTTAGTTTTGGATAAAGAGGGGAAAGGGTAGAACCCCTTATGTTTATATTGGGGTTTGTGACCCCATTTGTGGAGGTTTCAGTGTCACCAGAACAGAAAATAAGGAACAAGGGTGTCGCTGGGACATCTACAGAAATGGGAAGAGTTTATGCCTTTCCCATACTACTTAAAAATAAATAAATAAATGTTGATGCATTATCTGTCCATTACTTACTGACACTGTGACAGTGTGCAACTTAGACAAAACCTCTCCAGCGGAAATGCAAAAGGCCTAAATAAATTTAACCCCTTCCCCATCTGTTCAAAACTAAAATTGAAACATTGGATAGGGTTGGATTTCAACCTATTATATGTTGGGGTTGTCTTGTTTTATAGTAACTGTTAAAGAATTTCATTGTAGGTACCAAGTGACATTTTGCTCTGAATGGACAAAAAGGAATTACCTCAGTGAGTGTTTCACATGGGTATCCCAAATGTAATTTTGCCTATTAAAACCCAACACCAGATAATGTTCATAATAAATTCAAAGTGGAGTGTTGTATTCTACATAATTTCTTCTTTAAAAGCCAAACTTTAGACAACTTTGTTTACCCAACTCGCTCCCTCTGTGGTCACCAGAAAAGAAAATAATGAGATTTCTTTCCAATACGGGCACAGAGAGCAATATCCTCTTTTTACAAGATGATTAAACCCTTCTATCAGAAACTAGTGAAAAAAAATTGGGCTTAAATTGTACTTTAAAATCTGTTTATCGATGCTGCTGTCTTACAGAAGTGATCTCCCTGTGCAATTTTCTGTATTTCAGATTACATTTAACATCCTTGAATCCATCTAGAATTGTATTTTTATCCTATAAAAAGCAACATCATCTTAACAAAATATATATATTTTTTTAATTTGCATTTTGTTGAATGGAGAATTAAAAAAAGTAGGTTACACCTATTTAATTATACATGTGCAAGACTGCAAAATGTGTGGGTTTTATTTTAGTGTAACCATTAAGGAACAGGGGTTATGTTGTGAAACTGGAGAAAAAAAAAATAACTAAAAGCTGTTATTTGCAGCAATTGTATGCTGTTTGTTGTAAGGTGCACATAATACTATATATATTTTTCTTTTTTTTTTTTAATCTTTGCGTTTTGGGAAATTTATAAATATATATATTTTTCTTCATTTGTGTTTGTTTTTAAACACCACAATGCTTCCCATTGGTTCATGGGCCTTTTGGCAGCTCTTGTAACCCTTTGGGTGCCGTGTGTTGCTGGCAGCCAAGGGGTTAAAATCAGTTGATACAAGTGTGTGTATCTCTCCTGCAGTTTGTCTAACTTCCTAGCTTTGCTTCGACATGCATAACTTTATTTTTTATCATTTTTTTTTTTTTCTGATATGCATGCACGTTTTACTGTAATGTTTCAAAATCTTTTAGTGCTGTTTATATCTAGTAATATTACTGTACATGTCAGTTATTGAGAACAAGTCAATGTAAGTAGTTTTAGCTTGTTTATTGCAATGCTGGCCTCATGACAACAGGAAAAAGATATAAAATTTAGGACGTACTCTTTGATGTTCTGGTAATCATGGGCCCTGAGGGGCGTTTTTTTGTTTTTATTTTTTTTCATAATAAAGTACAAAAAGTCTTCAT